AACACAAACCTCTTCCCCGAAACACCAAGGTTCATGATCGGCAGTGTCAGTCTCAGAATGCCCACGACAAAACGGAAACATGGCACCAAATCCCATCCACCTTCCAAACATCTTTGGCGTGGCATTACCAGCAAATCCACCAATATCCGGGCCTGAAAGTGGCTGCCCACTCAGCCCCTGTTACACAAAGGCCCATCGTTTATCAGAGCAATCGTTTGATCAAAAATCGCCAAAATTATTGGCATACTTGTGTATTTAAAAAAAATGGCCAAAAAATAGCCCCTCTGATTTTATTCTGTATTTCAGATCGAGCCAGATAGTTTTACCGACTTTTACATCGGTTCAATAAATAATAAAATTATTAGTTATGCGGTTATGCTTAAAGGTTTGAGAGCTTAAGCCTTTGCTTGTTTATAAGAAGAAAACTAGAAAAAAACTATCTTAATTCAAAATCTAACTCAACTTTAACTCAACCCCACTATCCTTAATATTATCAACATAATTAAACAATATCTTACACATCACATCAACTTTTTAATTCACTATCCATCCACTCACATAATTTTAACTACCTATCGTTTCTAATCATTTATCTCCTACTTTTTCAACAAATCAATTTTATTCATTTTATTTTAAATATTATTTCAATACATTCTTAAAATCCCACTAACAACTAACCATACTAAGTTTTTTCAAATAAACTCTAGTCAGAAGGAAAAAAAAAATAAATAAATAAATAAAAAAACAGTTTTTTATAAACAAGCACGGCCTAACCTTTTCGGCATTTGTACAAGATGCGTAAGCAATTAAGCATAATACTGTTACTTGTCAGTAGCACCATAATAGTTTTAGTCTGATAAAAATAAAGAATATGGTTTTTTTAACTGCTTCACTTACCAATTGAACAACCATTGAGATGCTCATGTGGAGGTGCTCCCAGGTAGAAAGGTTATCTCCTGTCCATGTTGCAGCATACCTTTGGCTACCAACAAATCCAGCTCGAGTCAGAACAAACGGTCGTTTTTTCTCATTTGCTAGTTTCATGCCTTCATACGTTGATTTAGCCATCAGCATACCGTAAACCTTGAAGAACCAAAAAAAAAAAGGTTAAAAAATATAAAAATATAAAAATAATAAATGAGAGAGGGATAAAAAGGTTTAAATCAAAATAAGTCCATCACAATATGTAATTTTGTCAAAAAAATTAAAAATCTTACATTCCGTATCAAACTTATAAAATGAGCCGAAAGGTGATTAATATAGTACATTATGATAGTGTGAATGGTTCTGATGGCCTCCAAGTTCTGAATCTGCCCGGTGAATGTTGCTGTCTGGCATCGTCTTTGTTATAGTCTGTGAAAAAGAAAAATATAAGTAAAAAGAGGAGTAAGCTTTTATAACTGACCAAGCGCTGACATCACCTTGAAGACAGCTGGTTCATTCATATCGTTCCATATACCATCCACACCATTGGCAATAAATTCTTTAACCAGATTAGCCCACCATGAACGGGCACCTGATTGGGTGAAATCAGGAAATACACACGGGCCCGGCCACACATGACCTACAAGATATAAATAAATAAATAATAATAATAATAATAATAATAATAATAATAATGATNAAACCTCTCCTGCAGAAGAAAATATATATATATATATATATATATATATATGCAATCTTGTTGACCACTCAGCATTTAAAATAGATTGTTCAGGCAAACAATATCATGCAGTCTATAGAGATTTGGACTGTGACTAACAATGATAAACTAAGAAAGAATCTATCCACTTATCAAAATCTTCGGTTCGCCATTTTTCAGGATATTTCTTGCAAGTTGATAAAGAAGCTAATAAAAATGGAAACCGTTATACCTGACTGACATTATCAGAAACTCAGTCATTCATTTTCTTTAAGTCCCCATATCAAAATTTTCTTAGGTTGCAATATACATACAACCATAAACGACTAACAGGATACTAAAAGGAAAAAATTTAGGTTCGTTTTCAAAGGACAACAGATCTGACACTTTCAGATGCATATTAAATATAGATCAACTGGGAAAATAGCGTGCCTTGTCGAAGGTGAAACAACGAAATCCATCCATGTAATCTATGTCCATCCATATGACATCACAAGGTATACCCTTTTCTCGAAATGTCCTCGCAATCTGCAATAATAAGATAAGGAAAGACCACGTAAGTTCCTTAAAGATTCAAATGGATGAAAGAAAAAGTAGACAAAATACAAAAAATAATCTTCAAGTAATAAAAAAAGAATTAAGATTCGAAGTGGAAGGTAAATGTTTCAACCCGAAGACTGAAACTTACAGTTAAACTAGCAAACATACATACAAAATAAATAACTCGTGAAATTTTTAGGCATAGATACATACAGTGGCAAGCATACATACTAAAACAATACAAGCAAATAGGAAATTTCTAACAAAATGAGGTTTTAACCTCACGAACTCGTGCATCTGAATCATAGCTCCAGCGACATTGATGGTAGCCCAAGGACCACTTTGGCGGCATAAATACAGTACCTTCAGAGAAAATTAAAATAAGAAATAATTGAATCCATTGAGAGAAGGCAATACCGAAGACTGAGAATTAACTGTCACAATTTAAGAAGCTTGATGTTATTCCCTGATTTACATAATTACAAATGGAACTCAAATTTATTCTAAAATGTCAACTATACAGGAAGAAAGGTAAACATCCTTGTCTCAATGGGTCCACTTTGTAGTCTATGTTCTATGGATCTACACCTGAAGCTCATTCTATCAACACTGAACATCCTTATTATATCCTATAATTCAAGAAAAGGCCAGACGTGCATGTGAAATTTATCATAGCAGCAATATTAAGCAAGAATTTTTTCCAGTCAAAGTACAAACTTTTCCAACAAAACACTAAGTAGCTCCCATAAATTAGAGTGAAAACTACAGAGAAGTAAATGGTGTGAGGAAAATTTGGCACTGTGTTATCAT